CAAGCAGCAAAACCCAGAAATAAATAGAATAACACAAGAACATATCCTACTTTAGGCACATAGCCAAAACATGACATATCTACATATGACCACACTCACTTACTGAGCCAGATATAAACATGAACACGGTTACAGGGTTCATTTAGTGTCTTTGTAAAACAGGGTTGTGCAACGAAATGCAGTTTCATTTTTACATAAGTTACATAAGAAAAACACCAAAAACAAAACCATATTACATAAGGAGGGTGAAGGATGAATTTAGAGTATCACCGCCTGAGGAAAGAAGCTGCTCTGAAGTCTGGTGGTACAGCAGCTGAACACTTCATTTCACAGCTGGGTGAGCAGGCTGTGGCTGGGTGGATATGTCTTTTTGTATCATTTGGGCACTTCACAGGCACCTCTTGTCACCAATATCACTGATGCTCAGTAGATGGATACCAATGATGTTCTGGGCAGCTTTAATCACTCACTGTAGAGCCCTCCTGTCATGGGCCGTATACACATCCCCTGCCAGTTTGTAATGTTTCCACTCAGGATGCTTTATATTGCTCCTCTGAAAAGGATAACAAGAAATTGGCACAGGAATTTTGCCTTCTTAAGTTTTGTCAAGAAATACAGCTGTTTATGAGCTTTCTTCATCAGGATGGAGATGTGTGAGAACCATGTCAGGTTGTTTGTGATCCTGATTCCCAGGAACTTAAAACTAATCACTTGCCCCACCTCAGCACCATTGATGTCAATCAATGATAAGTTATTTACCCTGTTGATTGTTTCCATGTCGAGCACCTCACTATGAGAGGCTGATTTCCCTGTACCTTTTGTCTCCTGATTCATCAAAACCAACCCTCACACATATCAGTGTATCACTCTCTGGATACGGTGGGATGCCAGTCTCAAGTTGAGGGTGGAAAATCGGGAATTCCTCCATCCCTCCACATAAACTGACTGGAGCTGTCCATGGTAGCAACTGTCCTGAGGCACTTTGCTCCTTTACTATAAAACAGACATGACATGGTGAGGGCAGACAACATGACAGCAGCAGCATATATCAACTGCCCAGTGTGCGCTTTGTCTCAGTATGTTGTACACTCGGGAAACATCAGGCAAACACAGCAGCTGTTTGTTCATTACAGAGGGCACTCGAAAGGCGTGGCTCTGTCGAAACAGTGTTTGTTGCATTGACTTTGTGACCCCATCTCACAAGCCTTTAGTGCAACAGGATGGAGCCTCCCTGAGAGTTTTATCATCATCCACGATGACGGTGGCAGACATCTGCCTGGCGGCATCCTGGACTTCGACATGCCCTTTCATCCATTTCTATCCGTTGCATATATCTCAGTAAATGCGGACCATTGTGGTAAATAATCGATGTCCTACTTATCTGCAGCGGCAGTACTGTGTGAAAAGACTGTACATCACACATCCCCTTGTTTCTCCATAAAGGCTGACATGTTAACCGTTGACCTTCATTTACAGTTTATGAACTGGTGAATGTTGTCTGCTTGCGGACCTTGGTGTCACAGTGGGGCATAGACTACATCAGCGTAACCTAACAGCACTTAGAGGGTGAAGCCTGTACAATGTGTTAGTTGCGTACTGTAAAGATTAAAAAGCTAAGGACCCTTCTGGTTACACCTATGCCAGCTGAATAAGTGCTGGTTTGAATTGAGAGCAGAAATATGGTCTCATAGCTGTTATATGTTGTTAGTGTGGATGTGAGGGAGCACTGTGCAGACACAAGGCGTGGACAAAACTTCACAACTTGGCATGTGTGTGGGGATGAACTCTCTCTCTCTCTCTCTCTCTCTCTCTCTCTCTCTCTCTCTCTCTCAAAGAACACATATCTAAACAAGCAAAGAGATACGGGGCTCAGCTGTTCCATTGTGGTCTCTGGCAGGCTTTGTAGTTGGGTTGAGGCTTCTAGCGGATTGCTTTTGAATTGAATGTGACTTCTGTCCAATTCCCTGGTTCTCTATGCCTCAGCCAGCCACCTGCCTGATAATACTCTCTCTCTCTGTCTCTCTCTCTGTCTGTCTCTCTCTCTCTGTCTCTCTCTCTGTCTCTCTCTCTGTCTCTCTCTGTTTCTCTCTCTCTGGCTCTCTCTCTCTGTCTCTCTCTTTCTCTCTCTCTCTGTCTCTCTTTCTCTCTTTCTCTCTCTCTGTCTCTCTCTCTGTCTCTTTCTCTCTCTCTCTGTCTCTTTCTCTCTCTCTCTGTCTCTCTTTCTCTCTCTCTGTCTCTGTCTCTCTCTCTTTCTCTCTCTCTCTGTCTCTCTTTCTCTCTCTCTCTCTCTTTCTCTCTCCGTCTCTGTCTCTCTGTCTCTCTTTCTCTGTCTCTCTCTCTTTCTCTCTCTCTCTGTCTCTCTTTCTCTCTTTCTCTCTCTCTCTCTCTGTCTCTCTCTTTCTCTCTCTCTCTGTCTCTCTCTTTCTCTCTCTCTCTGTCTCTCTCTTTCTCTCTCTCTCTGTCTCTCTCTTTCTCTCTCTTTCTCTCTCTCTCTGTCTCTCTCTCTCTCTCTGTCTCTCTCTCTCTGTCTCTCTGTCTCTCTCTGTCTCTCTTTCTCTGTCTTTCTCTTTCTGTCTCTCTGTCTCTCTCTGTCTCTGTCTCTCTCTTTCTCTGTCTCTCTCTGTCTCTGTCTCTCTCTTTCTCTGTCTTTCAAAAAGATGAGCAACTAGACAAATAACCCATCTGAAATGGTTGATATCATTATGAGCTGCGGATTTCCCTGTAGCTTTCGTGTTCCTGATTTATCAAAACATGTGGCTGTGAGAAAGATGCTAATCAAAAGAGTAAGTAATCAATCAGAGAGTTGAGATGATGGCATAAGATTTAAAGACCTATAGTTCAAAGCGCTGTGAATTACATGTCGTCATTCACACACATACACCATGCAAGGTCCATCAGCAAACCAATTCACATTCATGCTCATTCATGCACCCATGGCACAGCCTTCGGAAGCAAATTGGGATTCAGTGTCTTACCCGAGGAGACTTCGACATGCGGACTGAACCGCCGATCTGAGATTGGAAGAGGACCCGCTCTACTACTATGGTATTTAACTTGCATTCAAATAATTTAATGCAAGTTGAATACCATCAAACATGTACAACAGAATTGTATGTAACATTCTTGATGTTGTCACTTGTAGTCATAATGCACCAGAATCAGTGAATGCATTTTCTGGAGCACTTAGGCAGAACAATAGAGCACGTTAAGGTTTGGAGATAATGTCTGAGAGTGAACAACAGCAACAGAGACCATGGCAGCAGTCTGACTGCCACTGCTGCCAGAATCATCATGATAGAGTGATGCGACACAGTTGCATCAATTTCATATCGGCACAAAACAGGATTCATTTGCGAGGCAAGTACATGTTTCTTCCTCTAATGCATCGGGCTGTCCAAAGGATGTGGGTGGACAAACAATGCAGGGGAAGCAGAATGGAAATGTTTAACACGCAGAAGTGTTGAAACAAGTGTTGCTGACAACTCTGTCAAGCTGACTACTCCCGCTGTCATCGTTCTGTAAAGGATGCAAATAAACAGAAATATGATCGCAAGGAATGTTGTCCAGCTGCTTTAACAAAACAAAACAACAAAAATAATCTGTGTCTGCCAATATGGATCATCAATGATGATGATCAATGATCTGTTTTGTGGCAAAAACATGTGATCGGGGATTTCTAAAAGTTAAATTTGCTCCTTTTTCCTGTTTTGCTGATCCGATCAGATCCGTGACTGAAATCTGTGATACCTTCCGAACCGTGAGTTTTGTAATCGGTTTCACCCCCAGTTTTGGGGTAACATACTCATAGGTTTGAAATGAAACAATGACTAAGGTACCAAAAGTTCTCCAACACCCTCAAGTTGAAGCTGATAGGAAGCACTTTAGGCGAAGCCGTCACTTGTCTGGTTGGGGTCCACCTCTCGACATGAGGTTTGCAGCCCTGTTCTCCATTTCTGGAATATGGAGAGCTTTCAGAGTCAACAGGTGCTCTGAGGCCCACAAGCTCTCCACCATCCCTAACAGGGCAGCAGACCCAACTCCACCCAGCCTGTTGATATAGGCAAATGGGGGGCTGGTGCCCGTCCTCACCATCACATGCTTCCCCCGTATCAGGGGCCTGAAGTGCTGGAGGACCAAGAACAATGCTTGTAGCTTATGTCAGTACTCTGTTGGAGAACACACACCAACTACCGCTCTCCCCGGGCAGGAACCCCCCCCCCCCCCCACACCATCAGGGAAGCATCCGTGAACACTGAGATGCAGCAGGTCACTCGTCCCAGCGCCGTTCCCTTGTGTTTTGGGGACTGCAGAGTCGATTGAGAACATTGTTTCAGAGTTACAACATTGTCTACAAAACAGTTTGAAGATTAATTTAAACTTCTTTGCCAATGACTGCATCATTTTGGTGAGCAGCCATAGAAATGAACAACATGGATTTAGGACTAGATACAAAGCCAAAGACAACAGCTCCACGATGAGGCATAAAACGAACAAAACAAGACTATTGAAACATTAAACGCAATTATTTGTATGACAATCGTCAACTAAAATTGAATATTGTGACAACCCTACTAACCACATTTCAAAAGTGACCTCAAGAGTTCAAGTAACACCACTTTGACACATGTAAAAAAAAAAAAAACTAAAAAAAAAAAAACGGAATATTAGCCTTTATAGAAATACTGTACTTTTCTGTGTACTTCCTGTAAACTTAATCTTCACACGTCCTCAGTTTCACTATGGGGTACATACATATTTAGTAGACCGGAAATGCGCTAAAGAATCAGTAAATAAGACTACGCTCTCAGTCTTGTTAGTTAATTAGTTAGTTAATTAAATATACAAAAACTGTTTAGAGTACTGGAAAAATGGAAAAAAGCGTGAAAATGTAATCATTTATGGTTTCGTGTGCGTGTGTTTATGCTTGCTTGCCCATGCTCTAGACAAATTTCCCCTTGGGGATGAATAAAGTATATTTCTATTCTGTTCTTCTATTCTAGACTATCTGTCACAAGGTGTGGATCTGAGCGGCATTGAGGTGATTGAGAATGACTTGCTGCTGATCAGCAGAGCCAGGCTGGAGGTGGAGAACCAGGCAAAGAGACTGCTGGAGCAGGGCATGGAGATCCAGGTACATACACACTCAACACAACGACTTCCTTTTGGTTGCACCAGATTGTCCTTGGCCTATTGTGCAGCTTGAACTTTGACCCCTGTTTTGAGAAACATCCAGCTAAAATATTTGTTTTCAGGAATAAGTAAAATATTAGCAAAGTTTCTAAATCAAATATATAAACTCTCACATAGTGGCCTGGTCCATTATTTACATTGACGGTATGCTAATCTACTTCTGTTTCAGTTTGCTGTAGATGCCAACTCGGCACTTCCTCCATGTTTACCTGTTGGCTTGATAAATTGGAAATAATGTAGTAGTGCAATTTTTGGTCGTCTTTTTCCATTTGGTGCAAAGCTACTGTCAATACAACACTTTGGCACAGATGTGTCATATTAAAAGCCTTCCAGTGGTTCAATCCCCCATTTCCTGGAAGGCAGTTCCAATCCCCTTACTGTTTTTATGCCTCCGCAACCGCCAAAATGTTGTGCCAACTTTGAATTTCCTAAAATTTGGAACAACCACCAACAGGACTCAAGGATGAACTAATTTGATTTTGTGGTCAAAGGTCAAGAACACTGTGACCTTGCATCGTCCCATCCTTGTGAATGCCATATCTCAGTAATATCTAAAAGGAATTTCTTCATATTTGGCATAAACACCCACCTGAACCATAGTCCGTATGGAAAAAGTCGTTGTGACATCACCCATTGGTTAGTGGACTGCCTTCTTGGCTTTTTGCAACCAGAAGTGACAAGAGCGCGGAGCTAAAGACAACCGAATGCTGAATAAGTAACTTTTCAGACCCAGAGGTTTGGAAGAGGCGCACGGCACAAGTTGTGTTTGTTTACTAGAAAGTTCATGGGGTTACAAGATGAGATAGGATTATGCCAGCTAGTATATTGCGAGCCCAATGCCTGTGATGTAAGTGTAACAGTGAGAGTGAGTTTGAGTGAGTGTGCACCTCTGTGTCTGTCCACAGCTAATCTCTCATTCTATTGGAGGTAAATGCATCATATTTTGGTTGCTTCGCTATGACTGCATGCTTAAGAACCTCTCGTGGTCTTGGTGACACACACTTTTTCAAAACTTCTTTTATTGCCTGTTTTATACTGACATTGAATGCCTGCTGACTCCTCGTTCACCACTCTTAATCGGCCCCCGGCTGGTTGGGGCTACTATTGATAACACAGCTGAGGGCATCTCCGATCCCGCATCAACTTCTCTGCGCCCACAGTGGGGGGATAACAGTTTGTCTAACAGCTAACAGTATGGATGATGTGTTTGGTTCACACACTGCTGCACAGCTCTCAGCCGCTGCTCTGCAGCTTACTTTTACTGTGTTGGAGGATGTGTTTGACTGTCGTCTATCAGCAAACGGAACTACCAGTTCACACATTGCTGTGCCTCGCCGTCGAAGGTGTGTTCAGACACTTTACAGCCCTTTGGTTACATAAATAACAGGTTGTTAGTTGGCTCACTTTATTAACATCTAACAGACCTACCGGTACACACATCATTTGCTTTTTGTCCAGACTGTATGACGTGTCTTATACGACGACTTTGAGCCGATTACCTGCATTCATTTCTTCTTGTTGAGTTTGGATGAAGTGTGTTTTACATTGCTTACAGGCCACTGGTCTCTAGGCGGGGGGTTCAGTGTGGGTTGTATTGTCTTGGGGAGGCAGGTATGGGCAGTTGTGGTTGTAAGAAAATTCATTCATTCATTCATTCATTCATTAATTAATACAGTCTAAAATATAAACTATGGAACTTTGATTAATACTTGAATTAATAACTATAACCCAAAATGACCATATCCATAGCAGAGGTTGGCAGTATTCCCTCTACAACATTAATTAAACAGACCAGCATGTTTATTCCACAAACAATTATTAAACAAGATATTAAAGGTGAAGCACACGATATGAATCCAACTAAAAACTAAACTAAAGAAACCAAAATGTGCGTGTGCTTGCTTGAGAGACAAAACAAAACAAGGCTGCATGGCCTACAAAACAACATGTCTGACAAGGTGAAACAGCAAAGATGACTGAATCAAAGATGGCAGCTGGGACCTCAGCCACTTGGTCTCTTTGTCTTATCTGAACACATGCATTCAGTCAGGACACAGAGTGTGTGATTGGAGAGTTCTGAGGTTCTTTGAATGTGTTTGTCTCTCTGTTTAAAGCCAGTTCACTTTTCTTTTGATCAGCCGGTTACATAGAGAGACCCTGTGTCTGTGTGGAGCATAACTAACACATCAGCTGCAGATTCAAAACCAGGACTATAAACAGACAATAAAACAACACACCATCAAACTAATACATGTGCATTGACAGATGTTTAGGTTAAACAGCTTAGCCATGTGCCATTACTGTGCTAATGTTACGTTACCCAGGAAAGAGATTCCTTTGTTAGCTGGAGATTCCACCATTGGGTCAAGAGACAGGCTGGGAAAGGTTTAGGTTGTGATGTATTGTGATCTGTCGCTCCAGTCCTTTGTTCTCATTGTTAACATCTCAGCACTAACTTGCTTGTTGCTCCTTTTTACTTAAACGTTAGCTGGCAGACTTTATTGTAGCTGCTAAACACTTGACACGACGGAACAATGTGGAGGTCAGCTCCTTTCATTAAGAGCCTGTTTTTGCACCTAGGTGGGAAAATAGAATAGTCCTGTGAAACTGAGTTAAATGGCTCAGCCACCACTTTGAGTGGAGAATCTCAACAATCCATTCAATCACATAACACAGCAGTGGTTTCTGCAGAGACCAGTAGCGGAGATCTCCTCTACCGAGTGCTTTGGTCTGTCACTTTTGAAATCTATGTGGAACTCTTTAGAATTGTAAACACTGTCAGAGGTATCAGACAGTAGAAATATGGAATATATCAAGTAACCTTAATCCCTGACTATATTTCAAGAGAAAGTTATCCCCCAGACCACTTTCTCTCAGCTGAAAGCCAGCGTATACGGGTATTTAGTAGTGCTGTTGATGGATGCAGGTCCAACTCTTGACATTTTAGTGCAAAGTATTCTACATATTGTGCTATAAATATTCTTAGCGACTGCCCTCTACTGGTTGAAACCAGACTATTGCCATTTCATTTAGCTATTGGCTGATCAGAACATCCTTCACCCACACACTCATCAGAGTTTAGGAAAGCACATTACTTCCACCAGATAATCAGCCGTTAACGTTGGTTTCACCGTGTTTTGTAATGTGCTGATGGCTTAAGTCAATGGTTATGCTACAGTGGTGATGGAAAATGAGCTGACGATGGACGCAACTGGACGTGTGTTAGCAGCGTCTAACATTGATCCTGTATTTGGCAGGTGCTGATTTCATTTCCTGGCAGTAGCATTGAAGCAGTGCACAGTGGGTACAGTTGGGCTATTTGTCAGTGAATAAATGTGACAACTCCTCAAGACCCAAGCCAAGTTCCCCCTTTCTTGCTTGCCCCCTGGTGATCAAAGTGAAGAGAGTCCAGACTCACGGGGGGCTGACCTTTATTGCTACTCTAGTGACAAGCTGCTCTTTAGTGTTTTGGTGAAGCAGCTGAGTCAAGTGTGACACCTAGTGCTCACATTTGGTCTACCTGGTCTGGTGTTGGCTGGCTTAATATCTAACGAGTTTTAAAATGTTTACACTGACCCTACCAGACATGCTCCTCTAGTCTACTTTTGGCCTAATTGAGGACTGTTGAATAACAGTAAGAACGCTGAATGCTGTCTGCACATGGTTTGTCACTCCACCCAGCTGTAACTCTTTCAAAGGAGTAACTGGCTCATAGATATTAAGCCCCCACAGCCGTGGTGCAGTTACACTGGCACTTCACTACACTAGCTATATTAGTTATATATATTATAGATTGTTGTGATTATATATTTCCACTCTGGTGAATAACTCATGACATCACAGATATTTCATTTCTTCTTTATACTTTTTTGTGTATTCATTTTTTTTTTTTTTTAAAGAAAAGGGCATTTGATCTGATTAGTTTTTTGATGTGATAAGCTGTTGGTTCTGAGTAAAATATAAGGACAAAGGTAGAAGAGAGATGAGCACTTTGTATATGTGAGAGAGGGAGACATGTGAGCTCTGTTAACCTTCACCTGCCCCAGAAAGCCCGTGTTCTCAAGGGAACCGTGTCCAATTGTATTGTGTGTGTGTGTGTGTGTGTGTGTGTGTGTGAGAGTGAGAGTGAGGGCAGAGAGAAGTTCAACAGGTGTGTTTGAAGTAGGAGGATACCATGACTCTAAATCCCTCTCCATATTCTTCACGCCCAAGCGGACTGAAGGCTGAACTGAGGAGCCTCCTGTGAATCCTATGGAGCACTGCAGGCATCACATTTTTGTCCAGACACCATCAGACATTGTAACTTGATGGCAGACCAAAATAAAACTTGTTTTTTGTTGGTTTGAGGACAAACAGCTGATGTGACCTATCCATCCATCCATCCATCCATTTTCCACCGCTTATCCGGGGTCGGGTCGCGGTGGCAGCAGGCTGACCCAGACCTCCCTCTCACCGGCAACATGTTCCAGCTCATTCTGGGGGATCCCGAGGCGTTCCCAGGCCAGCTGGGAGATGTAGTCCCTCCAGCGTGTTCTGGGTCTTCCCCGGGGTCTCTTCCCAGTTGGACGTGCCTGGAAAACCTACAGTGGGAGGCGTCCAGGAGGCATCCTAATTAGATGCCCGAACCACCTCAGCTGACTCCTTTCGACACGAAGGAGTAGCGGCTCGACTCCAAGTTCCCTCCTGATGACCGAGCTCCTTACCCTATCTCTAAGGCTGAGCCCGGCCACCCTACGGAGGAAGCTCATTTCGGCCGCTTGTAGCCGCGACCTTGTCCTTTCGGTCACGACCCAGAGTTCGTGACCATAGGTGAGGGTAGGAACATAGATCGAGTGGTAAATTGAGAGCTTTGCCTTCCGGCTCAGCTCCCTCTTCACCAAGACGGTCCGGTGCAGCGCCTGCTTTACTGCTGCAGCCGCACTGATCCGTCTGTCGATCTCCCGCTCCATCTTACCCTCACTCGCGAACAAGACCCCGAGATACTTAAACTCCTTCGCTTGAGGTAGGCACTCCGTCCCCACCTGGAGGGAGCAATCCACCGGTTTCCGGCAGAGCACCATGGCCTCAGATTTGGAGGTACTAACTCACATCCCCGCCGCTTCACACTCGGCTGCAAACCGCCCCAGTGAATGCTGGAGGTCATGATCCGAGGAGGCTAACAGGACCACATCATCTGCAAACAGCAGAGAGGTGATCCCGAGACCCCCGAACCTGACGTTCTCCACCCCCAGGCTGCGCCTAGATATCCTGTCCATGAAAGTCACGAACAGGACCGGAGACAAAGGGCAGCCCTGGCGGAGGCCAACACCCATCGGGAACGTGTCTGACTTATTGCCGAGAATGCGGACACAGCTCCTACTGCAGTCGTACAGAGACCGGATCGCCCGTTGTAATGGGTCCGGCACCCCGTACTCCCACAGCACCCCCCACAAGAACCCCCGAGGGACCCGGTCAAAAGCCTTCTCCAAGTCCACAAAGCACATGTAGACTGGTTGGGCAAACTCCCAGAACCCCTCCAGTAGTCTTGCGAGGGTAAAGAGCTGGTCCACTGTTCCACGGCCGGGACGGAATCCGCACTGCTCCTCTTGTATCTGAGGTTCGACAAACCTGTTGTGACCTACCGCAGGCAAATTTTGTCACATTATTATTGTTATTATTATTATTAATGAGTATTTATTTCTTTAATAAAATAACGTCCTCTGGGGAAACGTCCTTACCTCTGTCGTGATTTTAGCTCTCTCCAGATTTGGTCTTTGGGTCTTCATTTGACCTTCCAAAACCGAACTAAGCTCTGAATAGGCCCATCAAAACAGTTTGATGCTCATCATAATGCTTTTGGTGCTAGTACGTACGGCCATTTACAACAATAGGTGTTCTTCAAAACGTGCGTGTCAGACTCTTTCGGTGCATTTTAGCCACTGATTTTTACTCATACATCTAGACAATAAGCGTTCCCCCCAAAAACCCACGTGCACTCTCTCTCTCTTACACAAAATCACACATACACACTCCTCTCTCCACTGTGTATTCCACCTTAAAGTGCTTTTAGCCTTGGCTAACAACTTCTGTCACTGAGTTATTTGTGTGATCATATGGAGATCTAGAGACACAGACGCACAGGTATGCACAGACGTGTGTGTATATATATATATTTGTGTGTGTGTGTGTGTGTGTGTGTGTGTGTGTATATATATATATATCTATCTATCTATCTATCTATCTATCTATATATCTCTATCTATCTATATATCTATATATCTATATATCTATATATCTATATATATATATATATATATATATATATATATATATATATATATATATATCTATATAAAATCAGCCCAGGGCTTGTGTATTGTTATTATGTAAGCAGTTGGACATGCTGCCTGGGCTGTGTGGAACTAGTTTCACCTCAGCGCTCTGATTGTGCCAGCAGAGACCCTGTAGCCCTTCTGTTGAGTGGGAACTCAACTGACCCATGTAGAAGAACTCCTCCTCTCCACTCCCCAGTGCTTTCACATAGATAGAATATATTGAGCCCAGTGGCTAAAAGCTGCAACAATCAGTTACTCAAAGGAGAGATCCAACCGAGATGAAAGCTAAACCCCGCGAGCTAGACTAGGACTAATGATATTCCACCACCCACTCTGCTCCCGGCTAATGTCCGGTCGCAGGAAGAAACGGGCTAACCCAGCAAATTAGGTCAGTGACTGTTGTGCCCACATCTTTACAGAGACCTGGTTCCATCGTTGCATCCCGGATCAAGCTGCACTTGACAGGCGGACCGTAGGAGAGTGCAGGATTTAAAGCTGTGCACATCCCTTGATACACCACTTAAAATAAACAACCACATGTCTCAAATGAGGAGCATGCCATTGAGAATCATGTAAGCAGAGAGCAGGACTCTGTTTGATGATCAGTGATGCTTGGGGCTCAAACACAGTCAAAGTTGATGGACATTGTTTCCCTGATGTCAAATTTTTAACATGAAGACGTCGGCCATATTGCCCAGAGAATTATTGTTCCTGCTGTTTACATTCCTCCTGATGCAAGTTGAAGAAATGCACTTGTGTAGCAAATGGTTTCTTTTTCAACCATGTTGCATAATGTCAATAAATCCTCCATAACTCCTCCATATTCGGCATGGAGGTCAGGTTTGTGGGCGTGAAGGTGTGTAAATGTGTGAGTGACCTATAACAAAAAGGAGGAAACCGTTTCTTTTGGAAGGCACCATTGGTCTCTGATCTGCTTTTTGAGCTGTTTTTCACACAAGGAATATTTTCAGAATGCAACTCCCTGTGAAACCACAAACCATCATTTTTTACATTTTATCTTGTGTACAGAAATATGCTAACCAGTGAGCTTTAGAGGTGTTTGTTCACACACAGACATGGCATTGATAGCAATATTGTTGTTTAACTCTGGACAAGAAGCAGATAAGCATATTCAGTGTGTGGGGCTCTACAGGAGAAGCTTTAACTTCTCTGTAGAAATACAACTCAAGAGTTTGTTCTCTTTAAGAAAATGAACAGTTCAAAGAAAAGTATGCTTTGAAGCATGTACAGTGTAGACAAATATAACGGAGTCAGTGCAAAGTGCAGCAGTGCTCTCCCTCTGTTTTCCTTGTCTTGACTTTGCCCTGCCCACAGCTCTCCCTCATTAAACCAATGTAAGGTGTATTGTTAGCTGCTGCTGTCACCTCTGCACTCGCTGTCAAACTGAGTTTTTGTGTGTGAAATTACCAGACCCCTTGAGTTGATTTCAAACTCTTTAAAACAACTGCCAACCTCACTTCTCTCTTTCCCTCTGTCTTCCTCTCTCCGTTTGTCGGTCAGAATCCAACCCAGGTTGGCACGGCCCTGCAGGTCTTCTACAACCTGGGCAGTCTAAGAGCGACCATCAGTTCTGTAGTGGGGGGTTACAGGACCACCATACACGACAACATCACTGATGCTTTGGACATCAAGGGCCTGACGCAGCCAACCAACCCTAGAGGTAAGACCCAAGGAGGAGGTGGTGTGGTGTGGAGAAACACTAGCATGCTGCAGACATCGTCCTCATTTCTACAAGATGAAAGAGGATCGCATTTTATAGTTCGACCCAGTTCATGAGACCAAAATAGATTATTATACCATGGCCACAGAGAATAGTCCGTTCTGGCTGGAGGGCGTGTGTTATTTTCATAGCTCTGATGTAGCGGCCACATCATTGTTCTAATTAATGACACAATACTTTCAGATACACGGGCACGGTTAGGTTTTACAAAGAAATGGAAATGAGCAAAGTCTGATGCATCTCCTTCCTCTGTGCCACAGAGCTCCATTTCTTTATCCAAAAACTATTCCAAATATACATTTTTTTCTGGGGCGGCAGTGGCTCAGTTTGCTGGCGTTTCGATTCACAAAAATTAACCCACGTTGCTTCCTGGGTTCTTCACAGCAGCCCGCTGCCCCTAGGGACGGGTTAGACGCAGAGGTCAGACTTCATGAGCGTACCTGTATGTATATGAGGACTGTAGTGAGCCACAGTGGTGCTCTGGGTGACGTGGTCCTTCACTTCACACTATATTTGAAAGTGTATTTAAAGTTTTACATGTTCAGTAGGAACCAATGAGCTTGTAGCTTTACAACCACAGATGGGTCAGTACGACTTGAGAGATTGATTAATACACTGTTGGTTTTGGTATTTTCAATGGTATTTGATGAAAATAAGAACTGCAGACTTAATAATAATAAACAAAATATGAAAATAGCAGTTGAATAAATGTCTCATGATCTTAAGAAAAGCTTTTCTCAGTTGCTGCTGCATTTGTATAATAATCATAAATGCTGTTCTGCGTGCGTGTGTTTGGGACATAACACTGTTCCTGGTTTCACAGGAATCGTATCAGAAACAAACAAACAAAAAGCTGACTTCGTGAATTCGTCCCCTCAGGTGCACCAGGCAGAGCAGTGCTGCCGACACCAGGCAACACAGCAGCTTTCCGTGCTGCTCTGTGGACCAGCCTGGAGAAACTGATGGACCAGATATGTGCTGCGTGCAGACAGGTATTCAGCTCCCTGAGACTACTCACTGACTGTAAATTCAGTGTTGAATAGTTTATTCAAATTAGAAACCCAAGCAGCAGGACTGATGGATTAGGTGTGCTGCATACTTTCCAGGTGCAACATCTGCAGAAGGTCCTGATGAAGAAGAGAGACCCTGTAACTCATGTGTGCTTCATCGATGAGATCATCAAGGTGGGTGGCACCACTGTTCTGGTTCTGTGTAATCCAAACCGTCACAAGGCTCCAGTCATTTATTACAGAAGATAATGGTTTTAGTATGACTGAATTTGCATGTTTCTCAATATAAGACATCCACACAGCATACTAGAGCATACATGACAGCTTAATTATATGACACAAATGAGATCCACGAGCGCTGATGTAGAGGAGCCGCACACCCAAATGACTTCTGGGAGCGCCTTGAAATCCCGCTCCGAACATCTCTGCTGACGAGAGCAGTACTGGAGCCTGCAAGGAGGAAACCAGGCTTTGGGCGCGTGCTGTTATCCCTGAGCGCACAACTATTATCATTGTTTTCCTCTTGCAATACTTACACCTGCTCGCTTGAAAGAAACTTTCACCTGCTTGCACTCGAGAGGTGTTGTTTCTGACAGTAAGTTGGCGGATTCATTGGCAACTGGTTCCCTAGTTATAATTGGCTGCAGTACTCCCCTTGTTTCATCCGTACTATGCATGTGCAACTCTCAACAGAGATGAGAAGAAAGGAAGATGGCTCAACTTATTAACTATTTCCATCATCATGTTATTGATTAAGACTTTTTAAACAGGTTTGAACGTCTTCTGGATGAGATCTGGTGACACACGACCAAGCCCAGCCCAGTTCTACCCAGCCTCGTGTCCGAGGCTTGGCTGGGTGAACACAGGGTGAACCTGTGTAATGCTAATATATGACAGCCGCTGGTAACGAGTGGACACAAAGGATCGGGGTCCTGGGCAGCTGCTTGCTGTGCCCAGTTGATAATCCAGCCTTGACTTTAGTGCGTTCTCTTTATTTTCCAGATAAAAGTGCTGCACTAGAGGTGATACATGTACATGGCTGCATACACAAGGTGGCAACTGATTTTTAATGAAATTAGAAAAATGTTGACATATGAATACAATTTACAATGCCTTATTTTAGACAGACGTTTTATAAAGTGAAACATTGAGGATACTTGAGACCTGTTGATGCAGAGTTGGAAAAACACTATTGTCTGAAACACCATGGTATGCGGTAGCATTATGATTTTCCAGACCAAGCCTCTAAAAGAAGCCCCACACCACAACGATCTGTTTGTTCAGTTCTTTTCTATCCCACTCACATGCAGTTAGTCCGTTAACAACAATGGAGTCACAGAGGTTTGTGAAGGTAGAGGAGGTAGAGGAAGTGATGATGCAGTGGATGGGAGGAGGAGAGCTCAGACAGCTGGGCAGCAGACCTGCAACAGGCAATTCTCTAATGGGTTATTAGAGGAGGATACACACACACACACACACACCCACACACACGTCCGATCCCATTAGATAATGAAAGCACTCCTCAGTCAGGCTCTGTGTGTTGACCTGTGGGTCTGTGTTGGTCTCTATTACTACTTACACACAGCTGGTTTGGTCATCTAATGTTCATACAGAAGGTAAATGTTGAAGGACGTCTGCTCTCACTACCTCAGTGATGGCAGCATTGATGATGATTGTGATGATAATGAGCATTGTGAGGACTTGACTTAATATTGTGAATGCAATTATTATTCAGGATCATTTGTTTCAATTTCAAAATGATTTTATTGCAATTTCTGCACATCAACACAAACCTTTCTCTCCTGTCAACCTGATGACAGGATGGACAGCCGGACATCCTCTACACCTTCTGGAACGATGTAACCAACACACTCAGTGAGGAGTTTCAAAGAGCAACTGAAGGTAAGAACGCTCCGTCTCCTTCTCCTGAATCCCTTTAAGAGGATGCTGACAGTTTATATATCCAAGCTGCTAGTCCAGAGGGAAGGGGAATTACATCTTTAAGGTGAGTCTCAGACAGACAGTAGATAGCTGCTCTACAACCACCAGCACACACAACTAGTGGAAGGTCTCGTTTAGTGAGCCTTAATCATCGGGCCGTAGTCAGAGAACAGCAGGAAATCAATGTGGCTGCAAGTAATAAAAGACCTGTTGTTCATGGAGCTATCGCCGCACACAGGACTCTCATTCAACCAGTGTTGCTTGTACAACCTTAGTTTCTATTAAGTCACTGCATCAACACGCCATGGTAATTCTAACTGGGACAAAAATATAACAAAATGGGTCAGAAGTGGTGACACATCAAATTATTTTCGTAAAAATGATGCAGTAGCAGAGGATCAAGACCAGCTGCTGCCTGGAACACAGGAATGCTAATGACAGCCCACAATATGCTGCTGATGTTACAGGCTGTCAGTGATGATGCAGTGACTGTTGGACCCTTTGTAGTGATGGAGCCCTTGTGATGAGCTTTAATGCCATAACCCTCCGAACCCCAGAACCCGCCGGCGGGATAGAAAAGCGTTTTTTCTTTAAACAATCACCAAAACTACAACGTTCATCACAGCCAGACGTTGTAAATACCGTCTTTAGCGTCAGATTTTCATCTTGCCGACGGTCACTGAACAAATCATGTGTGACGACCGATTCCGTCAGAGGAAGCAGCTGAAATGGTGATATTTCATCAAAAACATTTTATTATATACTGTATGTCTTATTTAAAATGTCCCCCTTATAAACCCTTTACCCGAACCAGAGCCTGTAGAAAACATTCAATTCTGAGCTCCTCAGCGCAACCAGGAAGCAGTCCAGTGACAACAATTCAGTGAATCTTCGACAGCACTGCAAGCTGCTGAACACAGAGCAGAGGCCGTAAGTAGAGGTGGTAAAGATGTGAATAGCTCAATGTATACAGTGGGTACGGAAAGTATTCAGACCCCTTTAAATTTTTCACTCTTTGTTTCATTGCACCCATTTGCTAAATTCAAAAAAGTTCATTTTATTTCTCATTAATGTACACTCAGCACCCCA